CCGCAAAACACGGCTTTGTCGGCATGCTTGGGAGTATTGATTGCACGCATTGGGAATGGAAAAATTGTCCCACTGCGTGGCACGGTCAATTCTCCCGGGGAGATCATCCCAAGCCTACCATCATGCTCGAAGTTGTTGCTTCGAATGACTTGTGGATTTGGCATGCTTTTTTCGGTGTCGCGGGCTCGAATAACGACATCAATGTTCTCGATCAATCCCCTATTTTTGATGATTGGGTTAATGAGACCGCACCGGACTCCTCTTTTGAGCTTAGAGGGACGCTTTACAAGCGTGGATATTATTTGGCTGATGGAATATATCCGGATTATTCCACGATTGTCAAATCTCTCTCCGAACCAATGGGCCTTAAACGCCAAACCTACAAAAAAGCTCAAGAGGCGGCGAGAAAAGATATTGAACGAACTTTTGGGGTCTTGAAGGCTAAGTGGCACATTCTAGATCGTCCGTCGAAATGTTATTCTCAGACAAAAATGAGGAATATCATGACGTGGCAGAGAGAGAAAGTTTGAAGCCCCGGTTTGAAGCCCCGGGGCTTCATGACCATTACCAGTGCTCTTATAGCCTACGTATCACATCATACCTTTTTACTAATAATCTATCCTTCACATCTTACTTTTACCCATCACATCAAGGATATTTTTGTAAAGTCAACACCAAAATATTCCTCCCTTAATTTCCCAAAAAGTCAATAAGGGAACGACTTTAAGGGACGGAAGAAGTAATATATACTCCATATTTTATTTAGTTATAAATCAAAAGTTGAAAATGATTGATTGCGAAAATTGAAAACTAAACAAATACTCAGGAAATGTTTTAGTACTAGAGAGTATTTAGTACTTCCTCCGTCCCTAAAAGATCTTTCCCTTTCATTTTTTTGTTGTCCCAAAAGATGTCCCTTATCTATTAAAAACTCACTTTTACCCCTTACTTTTTCATACCCTACCTATCACATTTTACTTTTACCCATTTCATCAAAGGTATTTTTAGAAAGTCAATACAAAAATATCTCTCCTTTAAATCTTTAAAAAATCAATAAGAGAAGATGTTTTAGGGACGGAGTAAGTACAAATTTTACTTCTTTTTCTCCTTCTTCTTCTTCTTCTTCTTGTTGTTGGTTGAACGTTGTATATATGTAGGACTTGCTCATAGGTGCAATGGACACATCTTCAACGGTGGTTGTGTGGGCGATGTCAGAACTCATAAAGAACCCAACAAAAATGAAGAGGTTGAAGGAGGAACTAGAGAGGCAAGTGGGACTTCATAGAATGGTAGATGAGAAGGATTTGGAGCACTTGAAATATTTAGAAATGGTGATAAAAGAGACCTTAAGGTTGCACCCCACTGCACCACTATTAATCCCTCGTGCTGCCATCGAAGACTGCACGGTCGGCGACTTTCACGTGCCGAAGAACACCAAAGTCATCATAAATGTTTGGGCAATCGGGCGAGACCCGAACGTGTGGAGCGACGCCGAGGAGTTCATGCCGGAGAGGTTTGAGGGAAGCAATGTGGACTATAGGGGTCGGCATTTTGAGCTGCTCCCGTTTGGTTCGGGCAGGCGAGGGTGTCCCGGTTTGCAGCTTGGGGTGACCATGGTTCGCCTTATGCTTGCACAGTTGGTGCACTGCTTTGATTGGGATCTTCCAAAGGCTGCGCTGCCCGCACATGACTTGGACATGACTGAGAAATATGGTTTGGTTATGAATCGAGCCCACAACTTGATGCTAGTCCCTACTTATAAGTTACTTGTTTAATTTGTATGGACGTGGGTGCAGCTAGCTAGACATCTTTCATTTATTTATATGCACCCACTTTTTTTATATACTCCCTACTCCTAAATAAGGAAGCAAATAAATTTAGATCTGGCAAATCAGTGGGTCAGGTCGAGTTCGGGTTACATCGAATTCAGGCAAGTTCGGGTTCGAATTGAGAAAATACATGTTCACGATTCAGTGTCATCGTATTTCGGTCGACCCAACGAGTTATGAAACCTATTTTTAGAATATTAAATTCTGTACTAGCACTTACATTTTAGACTTAAAAATAATAAAATATCAAAAAACATATATTCAAGTCGTTAAAATAGATTATTAGGAGAAAGAATATGCCTGCACTTGCTCATGTTATGGATGTGTCAAAATCCACAATCCATAGATGGCTTAAGTGGAAAGACATTAGGAGGCATTCAAGTGCCATAAAAAAAACCAAAGGTATGCTTGAAAGACTGAAGTTCTGTTTGGATCATGTGTCTGCCCCCTCAATCCCCATGATGAGTCCAACATTTCATGACTTTTATGATCACATTCATATTGATGAGAAATGGTTTGATATAACAAAAGAAACCTCAACATACTATGCACTACCTGAGGAGGCAGACCCATATAGAACCATCCAAAGCAAAACTTTAATTTCATGCAAAAAATTATGTTTCTAGCTGCTGTTGGTAGATCTAGGTATGGGGAGGATAGAGAAGTTCTATGGGATGGGAAAATAGGCATTTTCCTATTCACTTATGATGCTCTAGCTCAAAGGTCTAGTAAGAATAGGCTTGCAGGGACTATGGAAATAAAGTCCATCCCAATCATAAATAGAGATGTGATAAAGGGGATGTTGCTTATTAAGTTACTTTCAGCAATTAAAGAAAAATGGTCAAGATCATCAAGGAATATAATTGTACAACAAGATAATGCTAAGCCTCATGGGGATGGTAGTGACCCTGATTCAGTGGTAGTGAATCTTTTATGAACAAGACATAGGCAAGCATAACATTTGTTTTACCAATTCAAAAGGCAAGCATAGCATCTGTTTTACCTATTCTATATAATCAGTGGTAGTAAATGTTTTATGAACAAGATATAGGCAAGCATAACATCCGTTTTACCAATTCAAAAGGCAAGCATAACATCTGTTTTACCTATTAAATATAATCAGTGGTAGTAAATATTTTATGAACAAGACATGCATAGGCAAGCATAGCATCTGTTTTACCAATTCAATATGCAAGCATTGCATCAGTTTTACCAATTCAATAAAATCAAGTGTAGTAAATGTTTTATGAACGAAACATAGGCAAGCATTGAATCTGTTTTACCAATTCAATATAATCAGATGTAGAAATGAGTGAAGTACACATCTCAATCAATTTGGCAGAAGATAAACAATGAAGAAAACAGCCCATACTCTCCACGCAAAGGTTTTTTCGCACAAAACAGAAAGGGAAACCACAAAATTTGATTTTTGTAAGTCTCCAACCAATAAGGGGTGACATTACAATATAACTACAGTGCCAAATATAGCTCATAACTTTCAATCACTCAGAGTAATGGTTGTTTGCATCATAAGTTCCCCAAAAAAATCATAAAATTAGACATGCAAAGAGTAATCAAAGTGTGAATATTAAGAGAAGGGAGATACTCCCTCCGTCCCACTATATTTGTCCACTTTCATTTTTACACACCATCTAATGCACTTCTTTAATCCATTTTATCTTGTAATTTGTATATTAAAAAATTATAGAAATTATATATTAATAATCTATATATTAAGACAAATCAAACAAGATCACACATGACTATATTTAGGCTTACACATTGAGAGAATTTGATGAGTCAAAGTGCTTAGATGAACAGTTCCAAAAGTCAAAAGTGGACGAGTATAGCGGGACGGAGGTAGTAGTACTCTGTCTGAAGTGTAGTGCCTTATCGTCATCCCCTAAAGACTCAGAGAAGAAAATTTCAGTATTGTACATGTCCAGTATCTGTTGTGAAGTAAATGATTCCTCTTCTTAACCATCTTCTTCATCACACCCCCCTTATCCTTTGAGGGAAAATGGTTTCACCCAAGATACTTTTTTCGATACCACTATGTTGGGTCTGTATCAGATGTACGAGATCCGCTGTCACCAGAGTCGTATTTAGGGATCACAGGTTTGAGAGAATTTGGGATAGGCAAAGGGGAAGGCCTTTCTTCGTTACTATCGGATAATAGCTTGAAGCTGGGCATTGTAGAGTCTCGAATCACCATTACTAGTGATTCAATTTCTGAAGAAGAAGGGAAGATTGATCGGAAGAGAGGAGGATTGGGTGTGGGTTGGGTAGTATTTAGGTTAAAGAGTATAAATATCCTTTTTAAGAGAAAAAAGAACATGTTTGTGGGACAAGAAAAAAATGAGAAGGGAAGATGTTTCACAGGAAGTATTAGTCAATTTTTTTTCTTTAATAATTTGCTTATAAAATTAAAGGAAAAATATAATTTTTGGAGGGAGGAATATTATTTCACGTTAAAGGTCAAACTGTCAAAGTTTACCTGCAACAATGACTTTCGGAGGCGAGAATTAGTCTAATTCAATCAGCTAAAAGCTACTCCGTACTCAGTAGTCTCTTTGAAACAGCGCCACTCTGTCTGTATCCATCCAAAAACAGTGTTCGCCAATTTAGCGCAGTCAATAATCTTTAAAACCTAGTCTGAATTGGGTTCTTTCATCGGGTATTATTATTAACTTGACTGTGTTTTAATATTGGAGTATTAGGTATTACTCCTTGGTCTCAAAAATCATGAGAGATTTTGGTTTTAAAAGATTTAAGATGAGTATATTTTTTTATCAAATAACTTATGAAAATAGGTAACTTAGGTGATTAAAGTTTGACCATATGAATAGTAATTGAGAAAAACATTTTAGGACAGAGGGAGTAATAACAAGTAAATAAATAATTTTAATTACTAATTTATCATATAATAAATAGTTATAATCAAGAAAATAAAATATAAATCTATTTATGTGGACCCACAACCTTCATGGAATAAAATGAGACATTCATATGAGATGTCACCATTAATGGATCGGATGCGAGAGATGCTCAATTAGCATCTTTAAAGTGGAGTCCACACTTGAACATCTAGTGAGAGATGTTACCATTGGCCATTATGGATGCTCTAAGAGCATCTCCAAGGGAGTGGTTATAAATTTGATTGGTAGATGCTGTTTTAGCAAGCAAATAGTGATTTACGATTTATCAAACTGTATTAAAAATTAGTCCACATCTAATTTAATATGGAATAATTTTTTTCACAATTTGTGATTAAAGAGTGTTTATTTTTTCCAAATAAAAAATGAAAAAAAAAAGATAAAACCAAAGAGTGTTTATTTAATGGTCAAAGGACGAGAGATGGTGACACAACCGAAGCACACCCCGGTGAAATTCAAAGTCATGCGGGGTAGGCGGTCGCATTATTGGAGTAGGGAGTAATATAAAGGGGAGTGCATACAAATCATAGAAGAACAAACAACGTAATAATTACCAACCTAAATTAGGAGGGAGGGAGAAAAACACAAAGATGGACATGATTGTGTTGGGCACAACAACATGGGTTTGGTCAGCAGTAACATTAGCCTGGGTAGTTGTTGCAGTAACAGCCATAATAATAGCTCATCACTACACCACAAGAAAGAAGGGGTTGGTGCCCCCAGGTCCTAGAGGGCTCCCAATAATAGGGCACCTCCATCTTCTAGGCAAAAACCCTCACCAAGACTTGCAAAAGCTGTCCCAAACCCATGGCCCCATCATGCGCCTGCGGCTGGGAAGCGTGGACACCGTCGTGGCTTCCTCGCCGCAGGCTGCAGAACTGTTCCTCAAAACACACGACCTCAATTTCGCGACCAGACCGCCCATGCGCATCGCCGACTTCTTGACGTACGACAAGAAGGGGGCAGTGTTGGGCAGGTATGGGCCGGTCTGGCGCGAAATGAGGAAGCTCTACGTGATAGAGCTCCTCACCAACCACAAGATGGGTTCATTCGAGTCCCTAAGAAGGGAAGAGTTGTGCCTTCTCGTGGAATCTCTCAAGCAGGCGGCGGCGGCGGATTTGAGTGCCAAGGTGGCATGCATGAACATGAACATCAGCTGTAGGATGTTGTTTGGTAAGAAGTACGAGGACAAGGACATTGGCGATGAGAAAGGGTTCAAGGTGGTCATTGACCAGGCCATTCATTTGATCAGTGCCACCGACCTTGGGGACTATTTCCCTTTGTTGTCCAAACTTGATGTCCAAGGGTTGAGTCGAAGGGCCAGAGTGGTGATGAACCTCTTTGACCAATTCTTTGAGAGGATCCTTGTGGAGCATGAAAACAAACCGAGTCCAACGTCAACGACGACGGAGGACTTTGTTGATATCATTTTGGCCATGGTCAGAAATAAGCGGACTTCCTTTCCCTTCACGCGCGATCATATCAAGTCCATGATGTTGGTAAGTTTTATATATGGATCAGTACACCAAAAAGTTGTACCTCACGTTCTATTCAAAGAAACGATCGATGTTTTAACAGTTCACACTGGTACAAAATGTTAGTTCAATTAAAAAAATTTGCACTGACATTTTTTATCAATGTAAATCACCACACTAGCACACAAAATATCGATGTATGCCTTTGGGGTATAAAATGGGGTACAAGTTTTGGTGTACAAATAGCTTAATCCAAGTTTTATTTAACTATGTATTCCTCTTTTAATATCTACTTTCTTGGTCAAATTTTGAAAATACTTCCTCTTTTATTTATTTTTTTCTAAAACACTTCCACTTTTTATTATAAAACTACTTTTATCTTTATTTTTTTCTACCCTACCTATCACATCATACTTTTTCACTAATAATATATCCATCAGATCTTACTTTTACTCATGACATCAAATACAAAATTAAAAAAGCAACCACAAATACACGCTCCCTATAGATTTCTCCTAAAAGTCGAAATAGAAACCATTTTATGAAATAGATGGAGTACTAAATTGTCATATGAAATTAATATCAATAACAAAATTGGAGTCAAAATGATACTCCCTCCGTCCCTAAATAAATTTCCATTTTTGACTTTTTAAGGATTTAAGGGAGAGATATTTTTGTGTTGACTTTCCAAAAATACTCTTGATGTGATGTGTAAAATTAGTAAGATGTGATAGATAGATTAATAGTAAAAAGGTATGATGTGATAGGTAGGGTATGAAAAAGTAAGGGGTAAAAGAGGTTGTTTAAGGGAAACGAGAAGTTTATTTAGGGACAAAGAAAAAACGAAAGGAGAAGTTTATTTAGGGACTGAGGGAGTATATCATTTATTATTCAATAACTTAATTAAAATATAATGGTTTTTTTCTGTGCTACACTGCTACGTTGTAGGACGTGCTTGTAGCTTCAATGGACACAGCTTCAACAGTGGTTGTGTGGGCGATGTCAGAACTCATTAAGAACCCAACAAAAATGAAGAGGTTGAAGGAGGAATTAGAGAGGCAAGTGGGACTTCATAGAATGGTAGAGGAGAAGGATTTGGAGCACTTGAAATATTTAGAATTGGTGATAAAAGAGACCTTAAGGTTGCACCCCACTGCACCACTATTAATCCCTCGTGCGGCCATCGAAGACTGCACGGTCAGCGACTTTCACGTGCCCAAAAACGCAATGCTTATGATAAACGTTTGGGCAATCGGGCGTGACCCGAATGTGTGGAGCGACCCCGAGAAGTTCGTGCCAGAAAGATTTGAGGGAAGCAATGTCGATTACCGAGGTCGACATTTTGAACTGCTCCCGTTTGGTTCGGGGAGACGAAGTTGTCCTGGTTTGGAGCTTGGAATAACAATGGTTCGCCTAATGGTTGCACAACTTGCCCATTGCTTTGATTGGCGTCTTCCAAACGCCACGGTACCTCAAGACTTAGACATGACCGACAAGTATGGTTTGGTTATGAATCGGGTCCACAACTTGGTAGTCGTCCCTACTTACAGGTTACTTGTTTAATTTATACGTGGCAGCTAGCTGGCAGGTAAATTTCACCGGTGATACTTGAACTTTGAAGACTTTTTTCATTTTGGTATAGTGCTGCAGGCGGGTAAATTTCACCAGCAGCGCCCACTTTTTCATATATATACTTCCTCCGTCCCAGGATGATTTACAGTTTTACTATTTGAGTTTCCCGATAATTTTAATGCACTCGTGTAGTCCTGTTATCGTTAACCATTTGATAAAATAAATTATTCTTATTGCATCTTGTTTTGTAGAACTTTTGATATAATTTTTTAATATGTAATGTGTATTTTTTATTTGTCTACCAATTGATAAATAAAAGTATTTTTAAAAAGATGGGCCGGTATTGGGCCGAAACAAAAAAAAGGTCCTAAAAGTTTTATCCTTAATGGTCTAAAAAATTGACACATGTAAACTAATTATATTTCTAAATTAAAATTACTAACCATAGTTAGTAGTCTTATCCTCAAGATGTTCTTCTAACTCTTCTAAATTTTCTTCCTCTTCTTCTAAATGTTCATCCTCTTCAACATGTTCTTACTCTATTTGTAAATGCTCTTGCTCTTTTATCTCTTTTAATTCTACTTCTCCGTCTTCAACAACTGGTTTCATAAACTTATAAAGAGCTACGGCTGGAGACTTTCTCATTTCTTCATCTCGCTTTCTCTTTTTTCTTTTTTGACTACCAAATACGGAGTAATTGTTTAGGGGCCATAACTATTGAATTATTTCTGAATTAAAATCCAAAATCATAAACTCTACAAAATAAAATCAAGAATAAAAAACTAAAAAAAGGAAGCAAATAAATAAATAAATACTCCGTATATCATAAACTAATACGGAGTATCAATTAATCAATTTTTCTTTTTTAATTGTTTTTTTCTTTTTCAGTTTTAATTTTTTTATAAATCATAAATTCATATCAATCCATCAATTTATCAGTTTTTATTTTTTTTTTCGGTTTTTCAGTTTTTTTATATTAATATATACTCCGTAATTATCATAAACAACAAATTCAAATAAATTCATCCAAATCAAATAAATAACATATAGAACCATTCATTCTATTTTTAAAAATGAAATTAGAAAACATTTTGAATTAATGTAAAAGGAAAGAGATGATTTGGGTATACTTGGGAGATATTTTCATATATATTAGTTTTGGTAGTTTCCTTGTATAGTGATTCATTTTCCTTTGTTAACTAGGATTCTCCATTATATATGTATGCCTTGAGTTGTATATTGAGACACAGAAATAATACGAGAGATTTTCCTGTTAAACAATTTCTTCAATTAAAAACTAAGAATTAACCCTAGATTTTAAATCTATAAAATGAAACAATGAAAGAAAATTAAAATTTAAGAAATAAAAATTATAAAATTGGAAAGGGAAGGCTATGAATAATTACCTGGAGGGTGGAGACGTGCAGGTCGGTGATGCAGCTTCCGGCGGTGGAGGCGGCGACTCCGGAACTCGGCTATCTTGCTTCTTCTGTTCTTCCGGTCGTTTCTGCCTTTCTGGTTTCTTCGAATCTTTTATCGGCAGTTCGGCACTTGGTTCTTCCGTTTCTTTTTTCTTTTTGTCTGCATAATACACATGGATTGGGCTAACTTAACGGATGGATCATGGGTGGACTGGGCCTGGGCTTATATACATATACATATACATACATATATATACATAAATTTTTGGGCCCAGCCCGGATGGACAAGGCACCTAGCCTTGTCCCCATAATGTGCCAGCCCTGGATTCTGTACTTTATTTAAAGAGGGGTAAATAAATTTCGAATGTACTCCCTCCGTTCCTTTAAACACTTCTCATTTTGACTTTGGGCAAAAATAAGGAAAATGTAATTTTGTTTGACTTTCCAATTTTCCACCTTACGTGATTGGTAAAGTAAGATGCGATATTTTGGTTATTAGTGAAAAAGTATAATGTGATAGGTAGGGTATGAAAAAGTATGGATAAAACTAGTTTTTAATAGAAAGTGGAAGTTTTTTAGGAAATTGAAAAAAAAAAAGAAAGGAGAAGGGTCTTATTAACGGAGGGAGAATAAAATTAAAGGAAGAATAAAATTGAAGGAAAGAAAAAAACCAAAGAAAAAGGACATGCACTATGCGTTGTAGTTTTCTTCATGGCACTTCTGTAGAATTTCGGAAATAACTCGGTGCTTTGATTAATCACAAGGTCATGTTTATATACAGGAGTATATACAAAGAGAAGGTCCATAACTATACACCGCTAATCTAAGTAATTACCCATGGACATAAGTACATAACTACAATAATTACTCTAAAATTCTCTCTCAAGTTGGAGAATAGAGATCATGAATGTCTAACTTAGACAAGAGTCAAAAAAAACTTAGACAAGAGTCAAGAGATACTGAAACATGAGGCCGGACAACGCCTTAATAAAAATATCTACGGTCTAAAGACGCATAGGAACATATAAGCAATAACAATGTAACGACGTTGGACACACTCCCGAACAATATGACAATCAATATCAATGTGTTTAAAGTGTTCATGAAAAACTAGATTTGCTGCAATAAAGAGAACCAACTTGTTATCACAATATAATCTGGGGATGGCAACACAAGGAACTATATTTTACGTTATAGACTGTAAAATAACAACAAATGTTTTATTGATTGAAATAATGGAAGAGGAATACAAAATATATGTATTTATAGGTGGAGGAAGATATTCTAAAATCCTTCACATTAATGGCTAATTATATAAGGTAATATTATATAATAATAACTCTAACTATAATAGATAACAACCATAATTATAATATATAATATTAAATATATTAAGTAATTGATATACTCCCTCCGTCCTCCTAAGATGTTCTCATTTTGACTTTTGGTGGTTTTTAAGGAGAGTTGAAAAAAGGTGAAAGTTATCATAATACCCTTAATGAAAATGGATGGAGTGTATTAAATGAGGTGGGTGAGGTGTAATAAGTAAAGTAAGTGGGGGTAGTTGTGGTATTTTAATTGTTAAAAAATGAAATGGGAAGATCTATTGTGGACAAAGAAAAAGGGCTATTGGGAAGATTTATGAGGGACGGAAGGAGTATTTAACATGCTCCCAACATCCTGAATGGTGAAGATTGAACGCCAACTTTACTTGAATCGTGGCCAGAATTGTAACCAGAAGCTAGAGGCATATCTTTGGTTAGAGTAGACTGAATGCATCTAGCCTAGAAGAGAAGAAGAAAGATTGGCAGGAAAGAGATGTGAATGCGCTGATGAGGAGAGGAGAAAAACCGCTGCGAACAGACTCATGATGCTGATGTCGAAAGAGGGAGAAGGTTGACGCATGTTGGAGTCGTGTGCCACTTGGTTAGAGAAGGAACACAATGAATGAGGTACTGCCGGAGATGCATGTTGACCGAAGATCTACCCACTAATTGTGCCTCATGTTACTCTCGAGTGAACAGGTGCGATCTTGGCGTCAGGAAAGGTCGGTACTTTGGTGGAGTAGGAATTGATTTAGACATCTTCTTTTTTAAAGTCGTCGGACAACAAAAAAAACTAGAAAACTTTGTAGTTTCAGGAGATGGTAAAAAATTTAGATCAGAGGAAAGCAGTGATCTGGCGGGCGGCGGTTAATGGCGGTGCCGCCCGCCAGAAATGAAAGGGGAGAAATTTAGGTCACCAAGAATGGTGGCTTTGATACCATGTAAAATAACAAAGAATGTTTTATTGATTGAAATAATGAAAGAGGAATACAAAATACATGTATTTATAGGTGGAGGAAGATATTCTAGAATCCTCCACATTAATGACTAATTATATAAGGTAATATTATATAATAATAACTTTAACTATAATAGATAACAACCATAATTATAATATATACTCCGTATAATATTCAATATATTAAATAATTGATATATTTAACATAGACAGTGAATATTTATCCGTTATATAAAGTTATCTCTCCATTTCATAAAAAAGTTTCTATGTTGACTTTTAAGAGAAATAAGGACGGTATATTTGCGGTTGACATTAATTTCAACTTTGCCCTTGATGTTATGGGTAAAAGTAAGATTATTAGTGAAAAATATGATGTGATAGATAAGGTAAAAAAAGTAAGGGTAAAAATAATTTTTTAATAGAAAGTAGATGTGTTTTAAGGAAAACAAAAAAATTGAGAGATGAAGTGTTTTTCAGAAACCTTTTTTTTAATTACTTCTACCCAGTGGATTAATATCCGCTATGTACACAACAGCTGGTTTGCATTACGAAATGTCAAATTTATTCAATGTGTATTCTCTATCTTGTACTTCCTCCGTCCTATAAAGTGTTACCCATTTTGACTAAAGTAGAAATTAAGGGAGGGATAATTTTGTGTTGACTTTCCAAAAATACCCTTGATGTGATGGGTAAAAGTAGGATATGATGTGTAGATTATTAGGAAAAAGATATGATGTGATAGGTAGGGTTTGAAAAAGTAAGGGGTAAAAGTGGTTTTTTAATAGAAATGGGTAGGAGATTGTGGGACACAATTTTTTTGAAAGGTGTAAATCTTTTTGGGACGGAGGGAGTACGTAGTAATAGTGAATGTACCACGTACAGCGTCTTGACAGTAAGCACAAGCATACATAATAAATAAACACAAGTACTACGTAGTAAACAGCAGCAGACACAATTTTATCCATTAAGTACTTTAACTTGAAAAAAAGTCAAACTGAGCTGAGAAAGATGACCGGCGGTCGGCGATGGGAAATCATGGAAGAGCGGTGATGTCGAATGGCCGGAAAAAGAGCGACGAGATGTGTTGCTTGGTGGTCCCCTCCGGCCGGCCGTAACCGTCTCCGTGTCGGTAAAAGAGCAGACAAGTCCGCGGCAAGTTGAGGACAGTAGTGACGAAATCCCTTGGGAAATGGGAGTTGCCGCCGCCCCCCACCAAAAGAGCACATGACGACCTGTTCATCTTTATCCAATTCTCCTCCACCAATTTCCGAATGAACTCGCGGGCCTCGTTTTCGTGGCACGCTGTGTCGTTCATGCGGCACTGCACCGCCTTGGGGATGTCGCCTCTCTCCATCTCGTCCGGTGACGTCCCCAAGTCGTCGCACAGCCGGCATATGATGGACGAGTACCTGACAATTTCGGGGGTTTCCACTAGGTAGTTCAAGTCTTCCAGCATTTTCGCCGGTGTCATCTCTTTGTTGGCCGCCGCCACGGAGGCCATGGCAATGTAAGCTTCTATGAGTACCACCGGAGCTCCGATCGACACCAGCCCATTCTCTAGGTACTCATCTAGGCTTGGTTTCTCTTCATTGTGGTACCACTTTGCTTCCACCATGTATGATTTTGCTAAGTCACCCCACTAAACACACACATGCATACATATATATTAGTCCATCACTTCATTTTTTATTTCATTCATACTCTGTAAAATTAAGGAATTGTTAAATTGTACTTAGCTTCTAATTTTGCTTTTAATGTGATGGGTAAAGGTAAGATGTGATGGATAGATTATTAGAGAAAGTGTACGATGTGATATGTTGGATATGAAAAGGTAAGAGTAAAACTGTAAAAGTGGGTTTTTACTAGAAAGTAAAAGTGTTTTTTTTGGAAGTGGAAAAAATAACAGAGAAAGTATTTTTGAGAACAGAGGAAGTATTATTTTATCAAATGACTAAATAAAAAAAAAAAAGAAAATGAACAAAATTTGACTGTCTCAGTAGTACAGAACTGAGAAGACAGTCTTATGGCGACGAAGAGAGCATATCTTTCATGCATTTTTTTTATTTGTTGTGTCGAATTAAATTTTTGAACAAAAATAATAAAGTAGGATATACGGAGTATATGTATACTTACGGCCTTTTTGAGGTAGGGAAGAACATTAATTCCAACTTGTTTAAGAACGTCATAAGCGATGAGGTTAACATAATTGAAGAGAGCCAATAAACAAACTTTAACGCAAGTTGGTAGCCCATCCTCCTCAATAGCCTTCACATCCCACCTGCAATTTCATTCCCACATAAATCTAGTGGCCCAAAATGTGTACCAACCACAACAATCAAATTTGGAGTGTTTTTTAATTTGACAAACCCAATTTTTCAAATAAATTGAATAAAAAATAATTACGCTCGAACATCGAGGAATTTAATTAATTAATAATCTTAGGTTGATAAATAATGACTAGGATCTGTCTCTCGCACCCCATGCATTTTCAGGGCGCGCGGAGTCAAACCTTGACATTAGTTGCACTCTTTTGTAGCACATTTATTGACCAACTAAACTATGACGTTAATAAGGACGTGATAATGAATAATAAATATTTGCACTAAATAACATTAAAACTTAAGTCATTTTTCGGAATAGCACTTAAACTAATTTATTTCTTAAATCGCACTTAATAATGTCAACAATGTGCAGTGATAGCTGTAAAAAATAATAAAGAACGCTTTATTGATGGAATAATTGAAGAGTAATACAAAGTATGTATTTATAGGTGGAGGAATATATTCTAGAATCCTCCACATTAATGGCTACTTATATAAGGTAATATTATATAATAATAACTCTAACTATAATAGGTAACAACCATAATTATAATATATAATATTAAATATATTAAATAATTGATATATTTAACATGCTCCCAACGTCCTGAACGGTGAAGATTGAACGCCAATTTATTTGAATTGTAACCAGAATTGTAATCAGAAGCTAGAGGTGTATCTTCGGCTAAAGTAGACTGAATGCATCCGGCGTGGAAGAGAAGAAGAAAGGTTGCCAGGAAAGAGAAGTGAAGGCGCTGATGAAGAGAGGAGAAAAGCCGATGCGAACAGACTCATGTTGCTGACGTCAAAAGAGGGAGAAGGTTGACGCACACTGGAGTTGTGTGCGACTAGTTAGAGAAGAAGCATAAGGAATGAGATACTGCTGGAGATGCATGTTGACCGAAGATCTACCCACTAATTGTGCCTCATGTTACTCTCGAGTGAACAGTTGCAATCTTGGCGCCATGAGAGGAGTAAGAATTGATTTAGACCTCTTCTTTTTTAAAAGTCGTCGGACAACAAAAGAAATTAGAAAACTTTATAGTTTCAGGAGATGGTGAAGAATTTGGGTCAAAGGAAAACAGTGATCCGGCGGGCGGCGGTTAATGGCGGTGCCGCCCGCCAGAAGCAAAAGCGGAGAAATTTAGGTCACCAAGAACGGTGACTCTGATACCATGTAAAAAAATAATAAAGAACGCTTTATTAATTGAATAATTGAAGAGGAATACAAAGTATGTATTTATAGGTGGAGGAAGATATTCTAGAATCCTCCACATTAATGGCTACTTATATAAGGTAATATTATATAATAATAACTCTAACTATAATAGGTAACAACCATAATTATAATATATAATATTAAATATATTAAATAATTGATATATTTAACAATAGCAAATATTTACTTGAATAATGACTAATGGATAATGACTAAAGGTGCTACATTGAAAAAAAATATACTCCTCCGTCCCAAAATATAAGCAACACTCCACTATTTAAAAATCACGGGAACTTTTATTTATTTTTGCATTTTCATTGATTATTTGATAGAATAAAATATTCTTGTCACCACTTGTTTTGTAGAACTTTTGACGTAGTTTTTAAATATGTAAGTTTTATTTATTATTTGTAGACCATTCTTTAAATAAAATGGATTGAAAAAATTCAAAAAATTACTCCCTCCGTCCACAAATAAACTTTACATTACGCGTTACGATGTTTGACTGAAGTTATTTTCAAATCATTTTATATGAAAAATGGTGTAGAATTGAAAAATAAAAATTACATATTAAAAAACTATATCAAAAGATCTACAAAACTTGAGGTGACATGATTATATTATTTTATCAAATGGGTGACAAAAATAGGCTAACAAAGTGAATAAAGTTTGACCATGTGAATAGTGAACGTAAAATTTATTTGTGGACGGAGGGAGTATTTCATTTAGCGTAATGTTACTTATATTTTAGGACGGAGGAGGGAGTATGATGTTATTTAGAGAAAGTCGTTATGTTTTAGGGTACCTGGTGATGGCATCAGTCAAGATTTGGGCTTCTTGTAGGGTAGCATAGACGTCATACACATCATCTATGACAGCAATGAGCTCAGAGATCTTTGAGATAATGTTCCTGCAATACTCATATTGTGGCTGATCCATAAACCCCACGCTCCATAGAAAACCCTCCGCCACTCTACTCCTTGTGCAAGACCCCATCCCCATCCCTTCACCCAGCCCTATCTCTTCATGCCACCTTGTAGTTAACAAAACAAAGAAATATTATATCCTCATGTGTTTCTTAAAAACGGTTCTTGTTTTAACTTTGGAAAAAAATAAAGAAAGTGTAATTTTAGTTGACTTTTCAATTTTGCCCCTGATGTGATGAATAAAAGTAAGATCTGATAGTTTAGTTATTAGTGAAAAAGTATGATGTGATAGGTAGGGTATGAAAAAGTAAGGATTAAAAGTAGTTTTTTAATAGGAATGAGAAAGACTTTTAGAGACATGTTTTTTTATTGAAAACGTGAAGGACTTTATGGGACGAAGGGAGTATATAATTTCGTTAATTTCTATATAATTCTCGTCTTGTAAGTTTGATATATTATTCATTAGAAAATCCGAAATTTTAAAAAAAATGTTTTCTCCCAATAATATTTTCCGAAATATAAAAGAAAAGTACTCCGTATTAATTCTTGTTAACAAATTACCTGGACACTTCTTTCAGTTCCTTCAAATAAATTGCCTGCATCATGTTGAAATCCAACTTGGCAAGCTCCAAAATAACAATTTCTTCTTCTTCTTCTTCTTCCACTACCTCGCATGAATTCTTCTCCTTCTTCTTCGTCGCTAATCTTTTTTCGTACGCGTCTATGAACCGCCTCGACTCCACCCTCTGAATCATCCAATGCAAAGGCAACTCCTTTTCGCCGTCGCCATTGTTGAGGTGAAGAGTGCTGAAAACTTTGGCCTTGTCCAATATTTCTTCATCTCCTATGCTGAGGTAAGAAGCTTCGTACAGACTCAGCAGTNGTCCTTTGGGGTCCTCTCTGTGCCTCTCTTCGAATTGTCCTTCCTTCATGAACCCCTTGAATATCTCTGCATTTTTGGATATATGCAATCCAATTCAATCAATTTTTTTTTTTTTTTTTTTGTACAACTTTTGATTTGTTTTTAAATTGTGCACTAGTAACTAAATTAATGAAATTTAAAATAATTTCAGAAAAATATCATAAATAAAAAAAGGACCAGAAATTGTATTGTCATTATTTTGTCACCCATCAATATCTTTGTTTGACTTAATCATTATTATGTTGAAAGCGTGTAATGGTTTGGCCACTTTATGATCAAAATATATGGGAATTTTTTTTGTGCGATGGAGGGAGTAATTAATAAGAAGAATAATAATAATAGCAATTAACCTACGTACGTACGTACGTACCTTGGGAGATAGGGTACCCTTGTTGTCTCGACAGCCGAAAGAGTAAAGAGGCTTGGTAGAGGAGACTCATATCATTATTGTGATGTTTTTGGTTCAAGGCTGAGAGTATTTCATGTATTTCATGGTCAAAATGGTGTGACAAACCAAGTCTTTGAAGAACATCAACAAGCTCCAATTGATCCAATAATAATGTCCCCTCTTTTTGTACCAATAAACCCCTCACCCTTTCCTTCAGCTTTGCAGCTCGCTCCACATATTTCTCATCCTGTCAGATATTTGGAGAAACCTCTAATTATTTAAAACTACAACAATAAAGTAACGAGTATATTCTCCTTTCATTTTTTCTTTGTCCCCAAATAAACTTCTCTTTTCCCTTAAAAACCTCCTTTTACCCCTTACTTTTTCATACCCTACCTATCACATCATACCATTTTACTAACAATCTACATATCACATCTTACTTTTACACATCACACCAAGGATATTTTTGGAAAGTCAACACAAAAATATCTCTGCCTTAAATCCTTAAAATGTCAAAAAGGGAAGTTTATTTATGGACGGGGGAGTAGAAAACTAGATCTTTTGACATAATTTTTATTTATTATTTTAGTTTTATACTTACAATTAAATCAATTAAATTAAAAAAATAAAATTCAACATTGTAACGCGGACGAAAAAATTCAAATCAGAGGAAAGAAGTACGGAGTATTATATTGACTCACCAAATATTCACTGGTTTGAGATTGAATAAATTGGTGGGTCCAAATAGAAGGGGCATAGTTGGCAGACCTCCTTTCTACTGTTTCCTGCTCACACGGCGACATAATATACATACGTACCTTAATTACTAATAATATTAATAAAACAAATATTAATAATTATATTTATTTTGGAGAAAAGAAAGTAATTAAGGATGTTTTTTCTTGTGAGTAGTGAGAAGTTATTGATACTTAAAAGAGATTGGTGAAGATTGAAGCTGGTAGAACATGGGTATTTATAAAGCTTACTTAATTGACTACGGAGTACTTCGTATATCCGGTGTACGATGATTTTTTTTTTTTTTAAAGAATTAAAACCAGTACTCTTGACTAGTACACATTGACTAGTACCAGTGTTTTTGTAATCATACTCTTATATGTATGTATATATTGCCGAACCTAAATTTATTATTCCCTCCGTCCATTTTAATTTTTTCCAATGATTTGACTTTCATAAGACCTTGCTCTTTTGTATTGAAAATTCAGATATGTTGGAACAAACTAAAATGAGTCGGAAGAAATTGGAAAAAGTTGAAAAATATTGGAATGAGCCTGAAAATATTGGAAGAATTTAGAAGTTAAAAAGTCACTCAATTAAATGATCACCTAAATAAATTTGTAAGAAAACTCTAATTTTAGATTTTAAAAAAAATCTTGAGATGATATCTTATAAATTCAGACATATAATACGGAGTATTATTTTATATTATCATATATAAGTATAGTACCTTTTTAAGTCGTTGTTAGAAGAAATTTTAAAGAGTTACTCCCTCCGTTCCACAAAACCCTTCCCCTTTCGTTTTTTTGAATTCCCTAAGGTAGTGTTTGGCAACTAGCATTTCATTTCAATTCATGCATTTCAATTCCAAAATTTAAAATCTTGAATTTCAAATGACAAGGGGAGGAACATGTATTTCAAATTAAGCTTTGTTTTGAATGAGAAGAATTTGACTTAAATCCAAATTCAAATTTTTTAAGTTTCCCAAACATGGGATTTGAGCCAAATCTGGATTTGAAATCCAAATCCATGTCCTCAAACATACCATAAAATACTTCCACTTTCTACTAAAAAACTACTTTTACCCTTACTTTTTCATACCCTACCTATCACATCATACTTTTTCCATAATAACCAAACTATCACATCTTACTTTTACCCATCACATCAGGGGGAAAAATTGGAAAGTCAACCAAAATTACACTTTTCTTATTTTTGCCAAAAGTCAAAAGTGGAAGTGTTTAAAGGTACGGAGGGAGTAGTAGAAACTGGAAGAAGTTACAAGATGTTGGAAGTTAAATTTTCTATCCCAAAAGAATATGGCCTTAATAGTTTCAAATTTTAACTACAAATTACGAAAAAGTACATTAAATTGTGACATAAATTTAATAATCAAGAATAAGTTTATTTTGAAACATAGATTTTAAATATTGTATTTTTTATGATATATACTCCATAGTAATTTGCAAATAGAAATATTTATGGTCAAAATATTGAATTAAATATTGTGAAAGGTCAAATGAGAAAAATTAAAGTGGACGGAATCATCTTTCTTATAGATGCGCTTAGGGTGGAAGGTATATATATATGCTCCGTATATATTGAGTAAACTTTTCTTAGTGTATCATCTCTCTTAGCTTCTATTCCGTACTTTTCTTATTACAAGTGGAGGTATACATATGTCAATTCATCAACTTACTATAACTATTTTAAGTAAATAATCATTTTTAAACTCATAATACTAAGTAATTTTTTTTAAAAATAAATATGTAATTTCTTTAATATGTTGCCAAACGCCCAGTTGCCTACCCGAGTACTCGGCTACTTGGTGCTTTCTAAATCACAAATTTGTTCACAAACAATTTCTTGGTATAGTGCATGTGGCCGCCATCTCTGATCGGATATCTCTATAGTCAAACACATAGTAGGGACTGGGAGAAAGAAATTAATCTTCGTCGCAAGTTCACAACCTACTTCACATCAAAGTAAAAGTCAAATTAAACCGTAATGACATAGACACATAGTACCTAGTACATCTAATCAATCTATCTCTATACAGAAAATGAAACACTGTCTATACGCTAGAGTGAACAACTACCGAATCGAACTCGAAAATTCTAAAAAAATCAAGAAAATTAAACTAAACAAAAGAAATTCCGAAAAAAGATGAACTGTAGCAAATGATCGGTTCAATACATGGGAATGATATAGGTAATTTCTCATATAGAGATTCTTGATCTAAAGACATACTACCTCCGTTTCTCAAAAGAGTTTCTCTTTTGATTTTGGGGGAAAATAAGGAAGTGTTAAATTGTAGTTGACTTTCCAATTTTACCCTTGATGTGATGGGTAAAAGTATGATGTGATAGGTAGGGTATGAAAAAGTAGGGGTAAAAGTGGTTTTTTAATAGAAAGGGAAAGTGTTTTAAGAAAAACCAAAAAAAAAATTGAAAGAGGAATGGTTTTAAGAAACGGAGGGAGTATAAGATATTATAAATATAAAATTATTCTTATAATTATTATCAAATACTACCTCCGTCCCAGAGTATTTATCCACTTTCATTTTTACACAACATCCAATACACTTCTTTAATCCATTTTATCTTGTAATTTGTATATTAAAAAATTATTGAAATTATATATTAATAATCTATATGTTAAGACAAATCAAACAAGATCACACATGACTATATTTAGGCTTACACATTGAGAGAATTTGATGAGTCAAAGTGCTTAGATGAACAGTTCCAAAAGTCTAAACTGGACGAATACTCTGGGATGGAGGGAGTAATAAACTTATTATTTAATACGGAGTATTTTGATTCCAATTTTATTATGTGTACACTGTTCTTTTATTTGAGTTTTAAGTTTTTGTTGATAAATTAAAAATATTAACAAGCATTTGAAATACTATTTTGTCATCATTTATTTTCTTTAGTTTGTAAAGTATAAACTACGTTTCATAAGACACTCTTGAATTTAATTACTCTTTTCTCAGTTTTTTAATGTTTCTTTATTGAAATGCATTTTTTACTTTTGAAAATAAAGGATTTGTTACATCTTAGATTATGAATTAGGTACATATGTATTTATACTTATTTGTAAGGAACCGTAGGATCGATGCGACATAAATTTTCATACCAAACTAAAATATATGAAACGATATCGAAAGAACGTTTATAGACTTTAGTTACTCTCTATACTACTGAAGCACGTTTACAAACTTTAGTTACTCTCTATACTACTGAAGCAGAGTATATAGTGTTGAAAGAAGTTGTTAAAGGGGGAAACCTGGTTGAAAGGGCTACAGTAGTTGGTGATCTTGGCCTACATCTCAAGAGCAAGCTGTTGTGTTCTGTGATAGTCTAAGTGCTATTTGTTTAGCCAAGGATCAGGTCCACCATGAGAGGACCAAACATATTGATGCGAGGTACCATTTTTTGAGGAATGAGAAGAAAATCAGGGTGGAGAAAGTAGGTACTGTGATATGTTCGCTAAGCCAGTCCCCAGGGGTGGACCTACAATGATCCAAGTGGGGTCAAGTGCACCCACTAAATTTTTTTTCTAATGCTAGCTAGTGTAGTAGTAGAGTACCCCTGCATATTTATGGACTCTTATTTTATAACTCCTACAGCTCTTAATATGATTACTCCCTCAGCTTCATTCCAAAATATTTGTCATACTTTTTTTTCCAGCAATCGCAGAAACTTTTGTTTATTTCTATCTTTTCATTGGTTATTTAATAAAATAAAATATTGCTAACACCTCTTATTCTCAAAAACTTTTCATGTAGTTTTTTTATATGTAATTTTTTTCTATACCAATATGTAAATAAAATGAATTGAAAGAACTTTATATTTTACCTCATGAAAAAACTTGATATTTTAGGAACGGTAGGAGTATAAAGTATATTAGGCTGTTCACACCGTTAGCTACATATACTACGGAGTATTATAGAGTATCTACTTTTTTTTGCTCAAGGTGCTGCCTTAGTTTTCAACATAGTAGCTTTTGTTTATTTAATTTAGGTGTTTAATATTATCGTTACTTCTTGTTTTATACAGATTAGAACTTTGACTTAATTTTTAATTTCTATACCAATATTTAAAGAATGAATTTTTAAAAAAAAAATGAAATTTTGTTTCATTTTACATAAAATGTAAAATATTTTGGAACAGAAAAAAATATTATATGTCTAACATGTAAGAAATGAACCCACTCTCATAGAACTCTAGGTCCGCCACTGCCAGTCCCTCATAGCAAGTTCCGACATTTTTTGGACTTGCTTAACATCATGAGCTGTTAGTTGCCCGAGGAAGGTAAATTTGAGGCAAGCGTGGAGGAGTCGTTTCGTCTGGCATTGTGGTGATGCATCTGCAATGAGATTTCAAGTCAATGTAGAGATATCTTAATATGCCTTGAATTTGTATTGTTTGCCGCTACGTAAATGAACCAACACAATATTGCCGAACCACGTATATGTGTGTCTTTACGTTACTCAATTACTCTATTCCGTAATAACAAGGGGATTAATCCTTTGTATTTCACAAGCCATTTCAATATATAGAATATTTTCTGCAACACAATCAAAATTGAGTTTAGCCCTGCCAAAATCTAACGGAGCAATTTCAATTTCGGTTTTAATCCGACGTTCCAATTTCAAAGCAGAGGGTGGCAATTTCGTAAATAAAGGAGAAATTGATGGGTATTTAGTACTCCGTATTTCATTTTACACATTAACACCTGCCCAGGATCGAGAGAGACCCAACGATGATACCATTCGGCGCTTAATATCGGTGCTCAGAACCGGCGACGGGCGCAATCAAACCACCTTCAACGGCCGACCTCAATCGGCCTTCTGCCTTCCCAACTGATGCAGATATTTAAACAGGGAAGCGCGCCGCCGACTCAAGCGCCGACAAGCACGACGGGGGACGAAGTACAACAGAACAACATGGCGACAAACCTAGCGACCGGATCCTTGGATTGAGGATATCTACTACCATGATTTGCATCTGAGAAATTGGTAATTTGATCTTCTTCTTTAAATTTTTTTTTTGTTTCTCCTTGATTTATATCTCCAATCATAATCAACTTTAAAAAGGTTCTATGCAAATTCTCCATGCCCAATCAGTGATATTAATTTGAGAGTTGATAAATAAATCTAAACACATATAAAAGGAAATACATTTTTAATGAAAGGTGAATACAAT